CCAATTATCCCAGTCACTGAATCAATCCACCTCATAGAGGGCCTTCCTCTCCTGTGCCGTCCCTCCACCCTCCCAAGCATGATGTCCCTCTCTAAGGACCGGTCTCTCCTCACAACATGTCCAAAGTATGTTAGACGGAGCCTTCAAAACTCAATGAGTAGGGACTGATTCAACAGCACTGGGGGTTTTAGTGGTAATTTTTACAGAAGCAGACCTGACCACTTTTCCCCCTGATTCTTAACAGCCAACTCTTTGGCCAGTAATCTAAAGCAAATCATTTGCCTACCCAGAGACCGCAAAACAAAAAATAAAACCCATTGCCCACTGTGACAAAACTCAAACCATGGTGACCTCATAAGACAGAAGAGAACTGCCCCACAGGTTTCCAAGGATATGGAAGCCTGTGGGGCCTTGGCCCTAGTGGATAGGGCCTTTTCAAGCCAAAAGCATGTAATTAGAATCTAGCAGCTCAGAGGGAGAAAGATGGGCAATCTCTTCCTGTTAGATTTATAGTCTCTAAAAACTTTCTGGAGCCCAGCTGTGAAGCAGTTCTGACTCAAAGGCAACAAATTGGTCTTTTGGAGTCTTTATGGAAGCAGACTTTTCAATCTTTTCCCCACTGAGTACAAAGCAAATGATGAGCTCCCCAAACCAATCTATTAACACCCTGCAGCACTAGGACACTTGAAGGGCCTGCAGAACAATTCATGGCCATGGAGTTGGAACCAATTCATAGCTGATACTCCAGGGGCTTTTCAGAAGCTGTCAATCGCACAGGCGATTGCCTATCTTTCTCCCAAGCTGCTGGGCTCAGTTAGCACTGTAGCTCCCGCAGACTAATCCACCAGAGCTCCTTTACCTGATAAATCTCACTTAGTCCTCACTCTCATGGGTTTCCAATACTGTTACTTGAGAAAAGATGGTCACCTCCCCCTAGTTGATACTTACCTTAAAAGAAATACTTACACATTAAAACCACCACCCGCTAAGATGGTTTTCACTGTACGCTGTCTTGGCAAATAAGCCATGACGAATTATCACAATCCAATTGCCTTGTGGAAGTACCTGTTGCAAGGACATAAACTCTGATTCCAGAAATGATGACAAATCAGTCTTCAGTTGAAAATTCATAGTCAAAAAGACCTGGTGAAAGGGCTGAAATCTAAAGGCCAAGAAGCCCCTTATACTGAGCTTGAATCCCCTAGAGGGGAGCTGTGCCCTCTTTCTTCATGTTAATTCATTTTCTCATTTCTAGCCTCCATTGTATGGACAAAGTTCCAGTTACAATCTTTCAGCCTGGGGAGAATAATTGACTGTTTTTGTTGTTTTACTAGGTGCCTGGAAGCCTAATACAATTCCTAGCAACCCTCCGAACAACAAATCTGAATCCTGTCCTATCCTGTGCCATCCTCACCATCTCTGACACACAGCCCATTTCGGCAATGTCTGTGTCAACCCATTTATTTTTTTAATACCAGTTTACAAAATTTGTATACATTATTTTCCAGAACAGATTCTTCTTATTTCCCTCACCACCACCCCCACACACCTCCATCAATCCATCTTGTACCATCCATCTTGATGTGGGCATCTAATTTGGTCACTGTCTTCTTCTTTGATCGAACAAGCTAAACCAGTCCAAAACTTGCCCAAGTGAGGCAAAGTGAAGAAACTACAGAGACAGGCCAGCACAGGAACTTGGTGCCCCAAGTTCAAGCCCTTTAAACCCCAACCTTGTGGATTTTTGTTATTCAAAACCATGAACTACATGGCAAACTTAAAGTTCCCTTCGCTGGTCCTCCATTCACTTGTAAAAGTCAAGGTTCGGAAAGCGTGTTTTCTCCTAAAAACAAGTTCTGGGGAGGGGTGGGAGGCACCACGCCCCGAAGACCCAGAGCAAGGTCGGCTCCGCCCTCCGCACACTTCCCACGCCCTGGCCCCTCCCGCCCTCAGACCCGCCCTCGAGGTGCGGTGGGAAAATCCAGAGCGGCTGGTTGGTCCGGTCTCGCGGAGTGCAGGGCCACCTGGAGAGAGGTGCCCACTGGCGCCTTCGCGCCCTCTATTACCCGCGCGCCAGGGTCCCCGCGGGCGGCACCCCCGCCACCTACCTGTACGGTGAACCACTTTCTGGCGAGGAGCTAGCGCGGGCGCTGCGCTTTTATACCCAGAGTTCTGTGACGTGTGAGTCACAATAAAGGGCTTTGTGGTGACAACCTGGCCAGCCTCGCCCACCAAGGATAGAGGAGAGGGGCTGGCACTTACTCCTAGTAAACCTCCGGGAAAGGGACCACTTAGGACAGGGGAAATTACCGAATCACAGAAGGGCTGATAATGAGAGGACCTAGCAGGAAATCTGAAATCTAGGACTAACCCTGAAAAGGGTGCTTTAAATATTTAGCATTTGTGATTTGGGGGAATTAACTTTTTGGCCTATTTCTAGTTCACCTTTTAAAGAAAAACACTTTTATTATTTTATAGTCACTCAAATAGTCCCACTGGTGGCAAATAGGGACACATTAGTGTTTAACAGTTTCAAACACTAAAACTCAAATCCATATATTATAATTTCTGTGTTCGTGTTAACAGCAAGATGGGGAGTGGCGAAGGCTGATGAACCAATTTCTAAAGTCATTGCACTGGCGATTACAGGAGAAAAGTGTGTTTATCCTTGAATAAAACTGTGTATTTTTAGACATCAAATGATCATCAGTCAGAAGAATATATAAGGAAAAAAACATTGAAGGCGAGCACCAAAATTGCACCCCTGTCTAAACACCTGACACCCAACTTTTACATAACGTTACTGTAGTAGGTGGCCTTAAAAATGAAAGCCAAAGCTACAACCAGGAGAAGATAAAATAGATGAATGGGATATTCTAAGAATCAAATCCCTATGCACATCCAAAAACTCCAACAGGGTAAAAAGGGAAGCCACAGACTGGGAAAAAATATTTGGTAATGACATATCAGATAAGGGACTTATATCCAGAATTTATAAAATACTTGAGCACCAAAACAAGATAAAGGTAAATGATCTAATAGAAAAATGGGCACAGGATATGAACAGACACGTCACCGAGGAAGACATTCAGATGGCTAACAGGCACATGAAGAAATGTTCAAAATCCCTAACTCTAAGGGAGATGCAAATTAAAACAACTATGAGATACCATCTCACCCCAGTCAGAATAGCAAAATTTAACAGAACAGCAAGCAACAAATGCTGGCCAGGTTGTGGAGAAACTGGAACACTTATTCACTGTTGGTGGGAGTGTAAAATTGTGTAACCACTGTGGAAGGTGGTATGGCGCCTTCTCAAAAATTTGCAAATAGAGATACCATTTGACCCAGCAATTCCTCTACTGGGAATATATCCCAAAGAGACCATAATTGACATCCAAGCAGATATATGCACACCCATGTTTATCATGACTTTGTTCACACTAGCAAGGAGTTGGAAACAACCTAAGTGCCCATCAACAAACGAATGGGTAGAGACGCTGTGGTATATTCACACAATGGAATACTATGCTGCATTGAAAAATAAGGAACTCATGCAATATTATTCAAAATGGGTGACTCTGGAGGACATTATGCTGAGTGAAGTATCTGAATCACAAAAGGACAAATACTGCATGGTGCCACTGTTGTAAAATAGGACTGACCTTGGGTTTGGGAAGAGACTGAGAAAGATGGGTTCAATAATGTATACTGCATTGAAACAGATGAGGGAGAAAACTGTTTAAAAGGGATATGTGATTAGGTATTTTTGTCATCACAGGAGTCTAGAGCAAAGGCTACATGGTGGCGTGGACCTGGGAGAGGGTTTGTAAAACAACGAACGAATTTTTCTTTTACTTTTCCAAGATGGTAGAGTACTATGGGGGAGGGTTGGGAGGGGAGAAAAGTACAACAATGAATGAATGGAAATCCAAAGTCTCTGTAAATTTTTACTGAAATTAATAATAAATTTAAATTTAAAAAAATGCAAACCAAGTGCACTAATCTTCTTTAGACATTATGGCACAAGATGAAGGTGGTTATCTGATGTTCTCAAAGTAATTGTCCCCCCACCCCAGTTTCTTCTCTTTCCATGTTCAATGGTGAAAGTTTGCCTTGGTCCACAGAGGAAAGCATAGATGAAAATTGTATTTGTTTCAACTTGCTAAATTAGTGATTATGTTATCTGCCACATGACAAATTCTAATCATCTAAATGTTGAGCGTAATAACAATCATACTCAGGAAGCCCTGGATGGTGCAAAAGGTTGATATACTTTGTCTGCCAGCCAAATGTTTGGAGGAGAATTCCACCCAGAAATGCCTTGGAAAAAAGATGTGGTGACTTGCTACTGAAAAATCAGCTATTGAAAACTCTATGCAAATGACTGAAATAAAATGCAATATGATTTGTAAACTTTCAACAAACAAAATAAATTTTTTTAAGAAAAGGAGAAAATGCTTGGGGGAACTCAGTTCTATTCTGACACAAATGGGGCCACCTTGAACCAGAGTCCACTTAATAGAAATTTCTTTTTTTTTTCTTTGCTATTGGCTTTTTTAAAAGGTATGAATTAGGTAAGAACAGTCCCTCTTTATCTACCTATAGAGGAGATTAAAAGAGTTAAGACTACTCAAGGAAGTAAAAAACAAACTGCACTGAGAAAGTCTCCTGTCAGGGACCTTTCCAGAGTACTGAGAAGCAAAAATGTCAGTCTAGAGACTAAGGTGCACCTGATCCAGGCCATGGTCATCACAATTACTTGCCATGCATCAAAGAGTTGGACAATGACTAAGGATGACGGAAGAAGAATTAATGCCTTTCTTTGAGTTGTGGTGCTGGAGTAGAGTACTGAAAATACCATGGACTGCCAGGAAAACAAACAGGTCTTTCCTAGAGAGGTTGAAACCAAGTTTCTCCTTGGAGGCTAGGATTTTGACATTCCATCTCACATACTTTGGGCATGTGGCCAGAGGGGCCGATCTTTGGAGCACAGTATCCTGCTTGGAAGGGTGGAGGGACAGCATAGGAGAGAAAGCCCCCAGATGAGATAGATTGATATAGTAACTAGGACACTGCTGGAAAAGGAGGGACAATCTTCTCCTATACCACTCACATCCAATTTGATGGTACACACACACAAAAAAAAAAATGAATTTTTTTTTTTTAAAGTAACTAGGGCAATGAAGGTAGGTGTGTCGGAGTCAATGAGACTGGCTCGGAACAGCGCAGGCTTCAGAGCTGTTGTACACAGGGTCATTATGAGTTGCAGGTGACTTGACAGCACATGACAACAACAACAACAACCCAAGATTACCTAGCTAAAAGTTGCAGTATAAACTTTTAAAGCTAAATACGGTATCTTTTCCATCCTGAAAGACTATCTCTAATACTAGTTTCTACCTAATTAGAAGAGATTCTCAGATTGTTCTTTTGTTGTTAGGTGCCATCTAACCAAGTTCAACACATTCAACTATTGCTCAAGGAAAACTGTGTAACTGTACGACATGATGAATTTTTTTAAAAAATTAATTGCTGTGATGGTTATACAAAATGATGAAGGTGACAGTCATGGTACATGTATATATGAAAAAGTGGTTGAAATATAAAATTTTGCAATTTATATCTTACCACCATTTAAAAGAATATTTTATTGGTGTTCTGTTGTAGTTCTTTGACTATTAATTTGGTACTTATTATTTTATTTCTGTGTCATTTGTCTCTGGTTGTTTTGTTTCTCTAGCTCTGACCTAGTTTTCGAGTTCTAGATGTATACTAATTTGCTTGCTGGGTACCCTTTGGTCTCTGTTGCTCCCTTTATACCTTGTAATGAAGGGGGAAAGCCATCAGTGGTTAACAGTACTAATACCGTTTTGTCTCTTTAGATGTTATAATGTATATTATGCTTTTCAAGAACTAACACTATGTCAATGATATATTGCAAACTTCTCTTTAGGAGGAGGAAAGTTTTGTGCTTATCAGATATGCAAAGGTATGAAATAATGTAAATGGTTAGGGAAGGAAATAA